GTTGTAGCATATTGCAAATCAGAAGCCAAATTTTCATTAGAAATACTTATTTTACTTTGATTTCCAAAAATTTGCCTTTAAAAAATGACTCACGTAGCCAATTTGTCTCAAACACATTTAAACTTTTATCCTAATAAATTAACCGAGTATGATTATCGTATTTATATTTAAAATAATTAAGTGTAAATAAATATTGAGACCCAGATTCTCAACGGCACCAGCCACAGTTCAAGTCTCAACAGTCACCCCTGGCCAGTAGCCACTGTGCTGGACAGGGCAGGCAGCTGTGAGCACAACCCACATGATGGCCACATATCCCTGAAATACGTGGTCAGGTAGGGGGCTAACACAGCTCCTCAAGTGACCACATGTGAGTGACAAGCACAGCTTTAGTGCTCTGTGACGGCAGAAGATATTAAACTCTAAGCAAAGTGGAAACCGGTTTAGGTTTTGAAACTGTAAGGCCAGAACACCATCATTTGTCCTGGACACTCAAACACAGAATGTTCTACCTAGTGTGGAATGTCTTTTCCTGAAGATATACTACAAGAAAAATAAAATGCTAAGAAGAAAGTATAGCAAGTGAAATGAGAAAAACACAGAGAAGTGGGAAATAAAAGTTTCCATCAAGATCTGAAAATAAAATCTTTGATTTCTACTTAATAAAGATACAACAGGTTAAAGGAGGTGGAGCAAAAAGAGTCCCTTGGGGAGCTGACCCTGGATATTTTAAGAAATAATAAGAAAATTAGGAACAGATGAATTTGAGTTGTTAATTATAAAATCACAGTGGATTCTCTTCAGTCTCCTGGTAGCACTCACAATGAATCCCAGCACTCAGGAGAGGGAGGCGGGAAGATCATAAGTTCAAAGTCATAGCTGGCTACACAGCGAGTTTGAGGCCAGCCTGGGCTACATGAGACACTGTCGGGAAAAACCTCCATTTTCGTTTCCAAACTGAAACTACTTAGAGATGAATGGTAGGCAAAATAGGAAACTTTCAGGGAAATTAATAATTTTACCTAAAGCACAAAATTAGAACAATGGCTGTAGGTTGTACATGAGTGCATGCGCAGGTAAATGTAAATACTAGAAACTGAAATTAGTGATTACTGTGATGTTCTATGTTAGTCCAATTTCTGTTGCTATATTAAAATGCTTGGGACTGGATTCTTAGAAAATTCAGTTTGTGTAACTCATCGTTTGGAAAACTCAAGCTCACAGGACCAGTATCTGTAGACAGGGATGCCAGTGACTTGGTAAGGGCTTCATGGTGGATGTTGCCATGTACAACATGATGTAAGAACACAATGCGGGAGAAAACTCAAGTCAAGATAGAAAGCCAAGGACCAGGGAGAGACCAGTGTTGCTCTTCTTATAATCGCCCATGTTAATTAGCAATTACTCCACATACAATCTTCTGAGGGCAGCATCCCCACCAGTCTATCCCTTAAAGGTCTACTGACTCAATATGCCAAATGAATATTTATTTTAAAAATTCACATTTTCAAAACCTTTACAATGATACAAATTGACAAATAGGGGGGGAAAAGCCTCTTCCACCTAGATATTCTAGAAAGTTCTTAAATTAATAGCTACAGAGGACTGAAACTTAGTACTTATCTTTATCCACAAGGTCAACAACATAGACTGTCTCTATCGATAGGAAAAGCAAAACTCCACATGCTGATTTCTAACACCTATCTTCCAACTTAATTTATTCTCTTGAATTGAAGATGCTATTGAGAATTTAATTATAACTGTCTGTTTAAAACTAATAATTAATATATCTAAACATTTTGATAAAACATTGTGCTTATAATCAAATATGTACCATGGTTTAAAAATCTAGGGTTGAAAAAAAAAGGAAAGGAAAGAAAAAAAAAAACTCCAAAATATAATCAACTTCAGTGTAATGTAGTGAGAATTATGTGCGATATTAACACTCTTCAGCTGCTTTCCAGGGGTCTGAAGCAATAATGTGAATGTCTCTCAAAAAGCCTATAGTTTAATTTTTCCAGAAAAATAAGTTTAATAGGATTACTGACCCTCTTAACACTCCTCTAAAGAAAATGAATTCCATAAGCATTGTGGCATATAACTATTATAAACATAAATAGAACAGTCAATCAACAGACATAGTAATGGACTCGAGAACTTGAACCTACTGAGGAAACGTGCCTAAGTCTGCCTGATGACCATGTTAGCAGGAAGATTCATGTAAAAGAACCAAACATACTGAGACAAATGAAGAGCCTAGAAACAAGACAGGGAGATAGGAACTTTAAGAAAACAACCTAATTTCTCAGCATATCAGCCTGGATCAACTATCCAGGCTATCTCTCAATTCTGAGCCATGTACCTAAGTACTGTTTGGTCTTTTGGGAGGTATTTAAATGTTTCAAGGGGGAAACGGGACAATTACTGATTTAAGACATATTTTTGTACATACAACTCTTTGTGCTTTAAGAGGAATTTTTTCAGGTCATTAGTTTATAATGTGAACAGGCGCCTAGGGATATTTTGAAAGGGAAAAGCAGCTAGTATGCTTGGAGCTACAGTTTATGTGGCTCGAATCATCATTTATTTCAGCTCAATTTGGGGCCCCATGCTGAACTCCAAAGGAACTCACCACATTTGAAGCAGTTTCTTTCTCGGCATGCAATGACCAAATCGGAATCTGAAGACAGACTAGATAAAGGGCCTGCTAATGCTAAGGTTTTACAGTTCCACGGTACAAAAAGAAAATCAGCTGTACGAATAATATCTAAAGTAATATGGATTCAAACTTCATTAATTCTTCCACTTTTATCTTTATTTGGACCATCTCATGCCAGCCAGTCACACTGCCATATTTGGGTCCAGAAAGCAAGAACTAAATAACTAGGCTCAGAGAAAGCAAGCAACTTCCTAAACCCAAGTTCATTAACAAAAAGATGCTATAAGCCCAAGTTCACAGACTAATGGTCATTCTGACATGTTCTGCATATCATGTCAAAACAGTTCATTCACACAATTCCCAAATTAATCAACAGTCCTAAATTCTCTTCTTCCCTCAAACATAAATAAAACTCACAGCCTTCCTACACGTTTTGTTTAAGTGTTAACAAAATAGATAGTGGTATTATTCTTTGGCTATCAGAGAAATATGACTCAATGCTACACTGAGAGTCCAATACCATCAGAATTGAAAGTATTTTTTAAAAGAAAAAAGAAAACAGCAGTGTGTGAGAAACCCTCACCTGAAAAGGCTTCAATTTTTGGGCTTTTTTCAGATTTGAGAATATTTTAATGTATATAAAATGAGATTGGGAGGGGAAAAGGACCCAAGAAACTTGATATTGATGATTTACACACTTTAGTCTAAAAGTAATTTCATACAGTATTTTTAATGCATGGGTATTTTTACTATAACTTAGCACATGTGGTCCAATGTGGACTTTTGTACTTGTGGAATCATGAATTTTGAAGAATTTCAGGTTTCAGATTTTTCAAATTAGAAGTGCTCAACCCGTACCTTGAACTATGAAACATTAGAATTCCCTTGCTTTTGCATTTATTTAGATCACAAGTCATGATTTCACATCAGGAAATGAGCTTTACCATGAAGGCCATGGTCTTCCAGACAGGAAACTCCCTATTCTCAACCATGGATACACACTAAAGGCGCCAGAGGAGCTTTTACAAAATGCTGGCCCCTTGGCCCCAGCTGAGCTGCCAAGTGCACTGTGTCACAACAGAGTCCAGAAGCCTCAGAGGAGTCCAATGTGCAATTCGGTGGAGAGTCCATGACTTACATAGCTCTCAAATATGTATTGATGGCCCAGAAATGGCCAATGTTGAAAGCAAGTCAAAATAACTGAATGCAGAACCCCAAAATGGACACAACTCTAATGTACATGAGTGAGCAAGGCATGCACACACTTTCAGATGGAACTAAGGCACTCCAAGGCAGGCACAAGAGTGAACAAGCTGTGCACACATTTCGAGACAGAACTAAAGCACTCCAAGGCAGAGCTCCAGCTAACACTGTTATAAGGGAAATCACAGACACCAGATCTTTTCATATGGCCTAAAAAACTAGAATCAATTTTTTCATAAAATTACTAAGCATTTAAGAGTTGGCTCAATTAAAAACCAACACTATGCAGAATGAGCAAGCATATAATGAAACACACACTTTTAAGTTTAGACTTCTGGCTCCATCCAGGCTCTCTCACCCTGGGTCAAAGGGATATTTCCTGTCTACAGAAACCTCAGCACCATCCTCAGCATCAGCCTCACCATCATCACAGCAATGATAACCACACCCAATGTGTTAACCACTATGACCAGTTCTGCATAGTGTCCTTAGTCTTGAGCCTCCTTGGAGGGAGGTACCATGATTAGTCCCACTTTCTGGTAACTACCCCTGCCAAAGCCAAATAGCTGGTCAAGGATGACACCAAAATCCAGATGTGGAGACTGTTTTAGTTTTAAATGTGCTTTTAACAACTTAAAAAAACCAAATGAAGTGAACAGCTAATAATTTCTCAGCTCACCTGTAGTTATCAAATATCTCTGACTCTGCAACACAACTCCTGAATAAATAAAGACAGGTGTTTATACCTCCCAGTCACAAAGTCTCTAGTAAGAACCATGTGCTCTAAGGAGTTGAATGAATGTTCATGAGTCTTCTGAGAAGAAACCAAATCTGTTGCTGCAAAAAGTTTACTTCATGTAGCTCTCCAGGTGGGGAAGGACACAGCTTTCTTTAAGGGGCTGGCCACTGTGAGTGAGCACATGAGCAACACAAATTGGACTTTTTTTTTTCTTTTTTCTTTTTCTTCTTTTTTTTTTGGGGGGGAGGGGGCAGTGGGAGGAGGGCAGGACATCACAAGGGTGAGGGAGTTAGCAGACCTGGGAGGACTAGGTTGTGAGTTTGCTCAGGGCTCATGATGTGCAATTCCTAAATAAGCAATAAAAATATGATGGAAAAAAAGTTTACTTCACTATTTTACCTTTTGAAAGATGAGTAAAAGTGCTCAGAAACTCTTCGTATGTTTGCTCGGGACAATTAACAAACTTATCCAAGACTTCTTTCATTAACTGATCTTCATCCATCATCTCCGGTCTCAGTATTTGCGCAGGCATTCCTAATCACGGGGCCACTCTACAAGACAAAGAAAAGCAGAAGCGAGGAAGGCAGCAGCTTCAGCAACCCAATGGCAGGTGGTGGAGGAACTCAGGGCCCCAGCAGGCAGGTGATGAATCGCGGCTGCAGCAGCCGACTCCAGCACAAGGGCTAGAAGCTGCGGCCCACTTTGTGCTGATGAACTGCTTGCTCACTGCACCTATTTGGGTTTGGATTTCAGCTTTCACATCATATGCTAAGGTCACAGGAACAGTGCCACATAATTTGACTAGAAACTAAAAGTCTTTCGATGCGAGGAGAATCTCGGGGACATCTACTGACCACAGCCACCATCACCACCACCACCCCATGCAGTGGCAGTAACTATTGGAGCTGGTATGGAAAAGTAACTTATTTAGCCCTTACTGTGAATGGGGTGCTGTTCTAAGAGCATCAGTGTTAGCTTCCACAACCCCAGGCAAGTTCACAGAGCCCAATCCCTGAACTCAAGCCCTTAAAACAGCAAATCATGCTTCCCTCCATCTACTGTGACCACAGCAGTAGTATGGCCAGCAAGAAGTGGCAGGTCTGAAAATTCTGACATTCCAGTGAAGCCGTTGGCAGCCCTACTAAAAACGCCTAAAGATGAGCCTGCATCTGTCTTCCTAGCCTACCCCAAATGTTCCTTGGGCCAGTGAGGGTGTATTGAATCATTTTAATCCTTCTAATACCTGACATCCTTGAACAAAGTCAGACTAAACCATCTCAATCTTCTCATTCTATTTGTTAGGACACATTTCTTTTCCAAAAGTGAGTTCAGAGTTGAGGTTCTCTGAGCAGCCCACACACATCCCTCTCACCATAATGGGAGGAGTTGGCTGTGACTTCTCATGCCACCATGTACTGTACAATTAGCACATTCTTTAGGAAGAGTTATGCATATTTCTTCATCTGCTTCTACACCCATAATCATGAAAGAGTGAGTGCATCTTCTCATACTTGTATCCCAAGTACTTAAGACCTTAGGGTGTGGTGTACAGCTGGTCACCTAATATGAGCTAAAGGTGCTCATTTGAACAGGTACAATGGTCAAAATGTAACTAGACTTGACAAAATTCAACTGAATTTGGCCAATGACTTCACCTGTCCCTGGATAGGGAGTTCCAAGAACACTATCAAGCCCTCAGTCGGTGGACTGGGAAAGATTTGATACCGCATCACCTGTATGTGTTTACAGTATGGAAAACTGGAGCAGAGACTCCAACATGATCTGGGTATGGACTAATTCTCACATTCTAAAAGCTGCACCCATTCTATTCAACTAACATCACATTCACACCACCACTGGCCCCTTCACACATAACTCATTTTTCATGCTCCTAATTGCCTTATTCTTGGCAGTGTGAGCTTAATCTTCACGCGTGATATCATATCTGGTTGAATTTCATTCATCCTGTATAAAATATTATTTCATAAAGCTTTGGGGAAATTGACCATCTACATTAAGAAGAAGAACAAACACTGCCAAAGCAATACATGCAGAATAATAAAAGGAGGATAGGGGATCACCACACTACATGGTAAGAAAAGACAGCACCAAACGCCTTTATATTTTTCTGAACCAAGAATAAACATCTGGAGCTGGGGAGAGAGCTCCCTTGTGCTGCTCTTACAGGAGAGCAGAGTTCAGTTCCCAGCACCACAACTGGAGGCACACAACTGCCTGTAACTCCAGCTCCAGGAGGAGCTGACACCTCTGGCCTCTGCAGCACACACACACACATGCACACAAATACACAATACACATGCATACACACACAATTAAAAATAATAAAAGTCAATCTTTGAAAAGTGATCATCTTTCACTTAGAAAGGAATAAAAATCCGTTCCTTGCTCCTAACATTTTTTCACCCACTTTCTGTTTTAGACGTTTTCTACTATAGATGTCAATGTCCTCTACAATATAAACAACACAGGGATATGAAATGTAAAAAGTATTAAAGATGTTCGTAACTATCCCCTGACCCCACCAATCCCACCTGGAAACGCTGTCGGAAGTCCAGTAAATATATTTCTAAATCTTTCCCTCCAATGTTTATGATTATAGACACTTTTACAAAAACAGGGAAATACAAGCTGTTCTCTACAAATAGATTTTTTTTGTGTGTGTATGCTAAAGACTAGCTTTTGAACATAATAAGATCCATGGCATCCCACCACATTAGGAAGTCAAAATCTAGCCTGTTCTTTCAAACAGCTACCCAGTCACAGTCCAGCTCTGCTCCTTGTATATAACAATTGGGAAAGTTACTTGCCATCTCTGGACCTATCTCTTCTCATCTAGGAAGGGGCACTGTCACGGCTCACCCTTGTTTCCTAAATCTCACTTCTAAATACTAAGGAGGTGGAAGTGTTTTCTGAAGATGACGTCCAAACTCATTTACTGGTAAGACCTGACCCGCATTAACATGAGAGTACTTGTGGTTCTTATTTCTTCTACCCAGTGTGACTAATCATATTTCAACCCCCAATCCCCAAAAAACTAATTGGCTTGCATATGAGGTGCCTTCCCAGCCCACCTAGAGATTTGTACAATGCATGTCATGTACCGCCTACCTTACTAAGATCCAACCCATTCTGAAACACATGTGAACCTATGGGTTTTACAGAACCATGAAGCTCTGTGAGGCTTACAAGACTGCTCTGAGGATGAAATGTGTGTCCACCTTAGGAAACGTAGCCTTCCTGATGTTCATGAGGAAGAAGACTGCAGAGAATCACTTTGACTGTGACTACTATGGCTTTGAATGCACTGGTGCTACCCACAGATAACACCTTGTACAGTCTAATCCCACAGGAAACACAATGCTAGTGGACCAAATGAAAACAATAGTTTGGGGATCGACTTCAAATGAAAGGCACTGTTTCAAGCTACTTGTGCCTGAAAAGTTGGATACATGAAAAGTCATCACTTACAACAAACCCATGTGTACCAATGCCCAGGCTTCAACAATGTACAACTTATTAAGGTATGCTTGTAGCTGATAGATAATGAATACCAACAAAGAACCTCATCAGATCAGCGACTATTATTTCATTATCAGCAAGACATACATGAAACACAACAATCTCAACATCCATCTACTTTTCCAGAATTGGAGCACAGCATACCAATAATCTCTTCCTCAAAGCATTCAGCTGGTCTACTTCAGTGCATCAAAAATGGCCAAGCTGTGGTTTCTACTGCTGCAAATGTCTTCTCACAGTTATGGTTAACAACAACAACAACAAAAAAAAGTCACCGAAATTCCTTTAGGGCTCCTTTCCAAAGCTCCAATTGATATATTTTGAATATTTACCCTCAATGTATCTCAGTACTACCAAAGGCAGATGATGAACAGGCTATATACTGCACAAAGATAAAACAATCTTCAAGGCTTCTTATTTCATTTCTGTGTTTGTAACAATCTAGGCATTTATTGGCTTTTTTAAGACTTTCACAAACTGTCAACAGCTGAAGAATTTAACGAGTACCCATCATCCAATTTAGACCTTTCATTACCTAGAAAAGCATTAGGAACCTAATGTTAAAGGTCCCCAGAGACTGACAAAGCAGATCACCCTTTACCAGACAGTCTGGTGGTTTATGTAAATGTCAGTGGTTTTCTAGACGGAAGCATGCTTTTCATTTACCACCCACATGCTAGTGTGTTTTTATCATGAAATATTTTTCTAAAAGAAAAAAAGAGAAAGAGAGGCTTGCCTAGATAACAAGATTCATTTTTTTTTTTTTTTGGCTTGGTTTTGTTTTATGCTTTGAGCACCACATGAAAGGTGTAGAACATAATGGTAAGTAAAGGCATATAAATAGCTGCTGGTAAATCATAAGCAACACTTTCACCATCAGAGCCTTAGAAAGGAAACAGAATATTCACTGCTCTGCTCTGACTACTAATGTCACTTGGAAACCAGGTGGTTAGGAAAAGGCTTCTCTCCTTTGCCCTGACTGAGAGACAAGAGAGGAAAATCCATCACCCCCCAGAGGTCCTGTTGTGTATTATCAAGTAATGAAGCCAACAATCATATATGCAGAGTGTTGTGTGCACTAACAAGTATACGTCAATGAAACGTGGTATGTGATGTCATCACCACCAACAGCACATCTTGGATGTCTATCTTCTGATCCTGGTGTAATGAACTCACCCAACGAAATGCAACTCTCTGAGATGAGAGTGTGAAGCTTGAAGATACAGACCCCTACGAACAAGTCTTCTCTCATGATGCATTACCTGATTTCTTAACAATACGGAGGGCTGTATGTCTGCAAAACTGTTGTAAAAAATGTGCTGCGTCCCAACTTGAAAACAATAATCAACTTCTAAGGAGCTGAACTAGGTTTCTCAGAGCCCACCTTCTGTGTGTTACAGTTCTGGGAAGCAGATGAAGGAGAGGACACAGCAGCAATGTAATTGACTTGACCTAAGGAAACAAAGCCATCAACCTTGGTGTGTCACAGGGTGGCTGTCCTTTTATATTAGTATAAACAGTCTAGTCTCCAAAAGACCGAACTGTACTGTGACCACGTTATTGTGACCGGCTCATAAGGTAGGAAAGAGCAGGTGTGCAGAGGTAGCCTCCTTGACTGAACTGCAACCACTCTGCACTTGCCCCTAAGCTTCCAATCTTTTACACCATATCAAGAAGAGAGGACGAAACTCCGGCTCTCTGGGCTGGAGAGGTAGCTCAACAGTTAACAGCACTTACTGCTCTTCCAGAGGACCCGAGTTCATTTCCCAGATATTAGGCAACTCACAACCACCTTTAACTCCAATCCCAGAGAATCCAAAACCCTCTTTGTCAACTGATGCCACTGAAGAGTTGTCATGTACGGTTCTCGTGTTACAAACCATGAAGAGATGCTTATGATCAGGAACACAAAGAAACCAGCAGGGACATTAAAAAAGAATAGAACTAGTGAAAAAAGAGACTGTGAATTTGAGGGGGAGAGGACAGGGGCATGTCAGTGGGTTTAAAGGGA